CTCTCAAAAAAAAAAAAAGAAAAAAGAAAAGAAAAAGAAAATGCCATTGAACGATTGCCAGGTGTCTCTCTCTTTCCCCCTCAGAGTCCTGCATCTCTGGCCTCCTCGCTGTGTCTTGAACAGACCAGGCACAGGGCTCCCCACGCCTGTGCACCTGCTATTGCTCCTGTGGGAATGACCCTCCCCCAGACAGCCACAGGCCCCTCCCTCACACCCTTCATGTCCCTGCTCAGATGTACTTCCTCTGAGAGTCCCCTGCCCAGCCTGTGCAAATAACCTTCCCATCTTTAGTCTGCTTTGCCTCCGACACTTGTCACCTCTAATCCTGATGTTTTAAAAATAATTATTTATCTGGGACTAGTAGATGGTATGGTTACGTCGCTGGCCTTCATATGGCCAACAGCAGTTTGAGTCCCAGACCCGGTGGCTTCAAACTCACGCCAGGCGCATGTGCGTGCGTGCCCAAGATCCCGAGAGGAGAATGGAGAAGGGATTGCGTGTGGCCATTCCCCCGGGGGGTGATTTCTTGCTTTCTGTCTCTGTCTCTCTGGTGAACACACACACCTTATAGCAAAAATCTTTCTTTAAAATTATCATTACTATTGATAATTTTTAAATTTATCATCATTATTATTTATTTATTTGATATAGACATTCACCAGAGAGAGCAAGAGAGAGAGAGAGAGAGAGAGAGAGGAAAATTGTGAAAGCGAGCCACCAGGTTGGGATTCAAACCGTGGTCAGTCACGCGGGAGTCCAGTGCTTTAACCACTACGCCACCTGCTGGCCCCTCTGATCATGACTTTATACATTTACTTATTCATTCAGTTAGTCTCAGTCCCCCCCCTCCCCCGAATGTGAGCACAAAAAGTTTCTGTCTTTTGCTCCTGGCCATATCCCCACACCTGGCACACAGTAGATGCTCAACACATTGTCCTCGTATATCGCATTGGAACAGCAGTTTCAAAGCTTGTCTTGGAGATCGGATAGAAGCTATGGGTCGTCTTTCTGGCGTCTGAATTTACCCTCAATTCGGAGACTCCCCAGACTCCCCAGAGTAGTTGAGACTTCCTGAGAGGTAGGTCAAAGCTAGGCAGAGGGTCTCATCCACACCCTCCGACGCTCGCCACATTCAGAGACGGAAGCAACACGAGTCCCTCCTGCAGACACGCACACGCGACCCAGAGGCACGCTCGGACCTGCCGGGGACACTCGCGCCCATGCTCACATGCAGGTGGCTGCAGACAGGTCGGAGGGTGCCCGTGTGCCAGAGGAGGAGGGAAAGGAGCAGAAGGGAAACGAAAACGTGGGCTCTGGTTCCTTCCTGCCTCCTGTTGTCTCCTGATTCTGTCTCCCAGGAGAGGGAGATGAAGGGAGAGAGAAGCAGGAGACGGGGCGAGAGAGAGGGGAAGGACGGAAAGACGAGGGAGAAAGCCCGAGACCTGCGGCGACGAGACGGGGCGAGGCGAAGCCCCGAGGGCGGAGCGGAGGGCCGACGGCGACATGCACGCGGAGGCTGAGATACAAAAGCGGCCGGAGCGCGCCGCGGCCCCGGGAGGGCTGGGGGCGGG